ATTTTCTCTGGGGGGGGGGATCTGTTGTCTGGAGTTCAGGTGTGATACCTGGTGATCCTCAGGCTCCACCTGGAGGTTGGCTGCCCTAGGTGTAGTGGTCAGTGCTTCAGAGCAGGGTCTGCTAGATCCAGGTTCCTGCTGTAGAAGCTGAGTGGGTGATTTTGGACTGGTCACAGACTTTCAGCCTAAACTACCTCACAGGGTTGTTGTACAAGTCAAAAGCGGGAGAGGAGAATGATGTAAGCTGCTCTGGTCCCCACTGCAGAGAAAGACTACTTTTCCTCCTGGGGAACCATTGTTGCCAATCTCCAGGTGAGGGCTGGAGATCACTCAGAATTAAAACTGCTCTCCAGATGGCAGAGATCAGTTTCCCTGGAGAAAATGGTGGACTCTGTGGCAGTCAGGGCTTCAGAGCATGGGAGAGGCTGCAGGTGTGTGTGTGGGGGGAATGGAAAGCTGAAGAGAGAGGGGGAAATAAAAGTAGGTTGATGATTGGCTGGGAAGGAGATAGGGTTGCCAACTCCAGGTGGGAAATTCCTGGAGATTTGAGAGATGGAACCTGGAGAGGGTGAGCTTTGAGGAGGGGTGGGACCTCAGAAAGGTATAATGTCATAGACTCCACCCTCCCAACCAGCCATACCCTTCTGGGGAACCACTGTTCCCAATCTCAGGAGAGGGGTAGAAATCACTCAGAATTATTTCCACAACGGGCCTTATTCCTAGTATACAAATAAATGACATGTGATGGCACTCCTAAAGGCTGAAAGGCCATTGCTAAAAAGAGGAAAAGGTTTTCTTTCTCCTTCCAGCACCAAACAGAGTTTTCTATGCAACTGTCAGGCACTTACCTTTATTCCAAAATGTTCCGTGACACCTCGTCCATGTTCTCCCAGTACTCCAAAGGAAAGACTTTCTTCCAAAAATATCCTCACTTTGTATTTGTATTTTAATTTTACCTACAAATGTATTCAATTTTAAGTGACACAAGACAATAAAAGGTTACCTATTGTTTGCAACAAGGAACAAGCTTCAGATACAAGTAATTTAATTATTCCTATTGCCAGACATGTTAGTCTGTATCCAACCTTGCAGTTCCAAAGACTTAAAGGTAAAGTTTTCTTTAGAAGGTTCTAGGAAAAAAGCCCACAGGAAAAACCCCATGGTCATAAATGCTCACGCGGAAAAAGCCCACGCGGAAAAAAGTCCATATACATAAAAGCCCACACGGAAAAAAGCCCACATGGAAATATACCATGTAAAGCACCATAGATAGGCTAAAAACCTGTGAGCTAGCTAGCTCACACTAACTCAGCTTAGAGGGGACACTGAAGAGGAACCTCGCTTGCCACAAACTAACACTGGCTAATGCACAGGCAGGTCGCCTAATAACATAGCAAAATTATTATTTAATTATACTTGATAAAATCACAACAAAAATTGTTGCATGTGAATACAGGTAATACCTGTTCATTCTCATAAATGGAGATGAATGGTTATCCACAATTATAAATATCTATGGTATTTTTCCATGTGGGCTTTTTTCCTGTGAGCATTTATGACCGTGGGTTTTTTCCGGTCACCTCTTTAAGAGGGGGACTCAGTTTCTGTAGATTCCCCTTCCCACTTCAGCCTGCTGATCCATCTACAGTTTTATACCAGGAGATCAGCAAACCCTTAATAATTGCACAGGGAGAAAAATGGGAGAGGAGAATTGGTAGAAAACTGAAGTACCCTTAAGTCTTTCAAAAATGTAACTGGATATAGGATGTCAGCTCCACTCCAATACTTCACCTTTATGCATGCCCTTATATACATATTTCCACTAGTTATGCACAGGATACAACTTTCTGTATTTTGGTGACTTAGTATCTTCCAGAACTTCAGTGGATTTAGAAAGGTATCTCTGCTTAGGACTGTACTGCTAAGTTGCTTAGTTTTAATGCTACCAATGCAAATCTTGCCTATTAAAATATTTCCAAGCAGTTATTTAGATCAGTGGCCTGTGATTTCCTGCCCACTCAAGTTTGGCATTCTCCTGCCAAAGCATCTTCTCCTTCTCCCTGTCTCCCTTCACAAAAAAGAAAAATTATGACTGATGTTATCCCACCTTTAGTTTTGGAATATATTCAACAGGTTTGAATGCATTTTCTTAGACTGCATGATATGCCATTAAAGGTATTTGATTTGATTCATTTTGGGTGACGGAATGTGGGTTATGCAGGATACACTGAACTACCATCTGCTGAACTAAGTGGAAAGCCTCATGACTGCCCTCCCACTTCTGAAAGATGAATAGACATTATCCCACACTTTAAATATTATTTTCACAGTCATATGTGCTAAAGATTTACTTGAGAAGAAAATGAGACTCTTAGTATGCGGAAATCTGTGGCTTCTTATGAATAACTGTGAAACACACATGAATTTGCTTATCGCTTAGTATATGGATGCACTGAGAACAAAGGCTGATTTGGCAACATATTTCAATCCCACATAGCTACTTCCTTCTGGCCAGACAGCAAGGACACAAGAATGGGACACAGCAGTGCCTGGACAGAAGACTATTTCCACATGCCAGGATACTACATGTTGCCTTGACACAACTGCACTCCATTCTTTTGTTTCCAAACCACCCGTGACCTACTGTTACAGCTGGTAAGTGGCACCAAAACAGTACCAAAACTGTTATCTGCACAAGATCAAAAGCTTCTAATTAACAAAGTATCTTTTTCAATTCTTATTTCAGGGTGCACCGTATCTGGTTACCAGCAGATGCTAAAAATAAACAAAAATAAAAACAGTTACCTACTTACCAGTTCTGGAAGAGGGCAAACATCTCCAGTATTAATATACAAACCCTCAACCACAATAAACCTTCGGGTTACACGGGCTTTTCGAGGATTCTAAAGAGAAGCAAACAGTGCAAAAATCAAATGCATCTTTACATCTGTTATTTAGCTTATCTCTTTAAAAATACTATGAAAAGTTGACAAGACACTGCGAACCAGTCTCAGTACTGCTAAAAATCAACTATATCAAACAAATTTTCAGTGGGAAGATTATTTGGGCTCAAAAACTCTTTAGGCTAATAGGCCTTCTAGGTTCGTGAAATGGTTAATGATGTTTTTAATGATGCATTGGATGAACAGAGAACTCTGTAGGCTCCCATTATAATGCCTTAACTATTCAAGTATACATCTGTCGAGATGCAGTTTGAAACTGGCATGTAGGATAAGAAGGAACAATGGAAACATATCTATAGCTTGACTGGTGGTTTTTTCTTTTATTTAAGTGACCCCTCCTCTGTTTTCCTACCAGCTCCATCAGAGTAAATAAACTATAGCAGCCAAATCCATTTCAAATGTTACACAACAGTCAGGAGGGCTTAGAAGAGAAATAATGAGCAATGCAACCATTCAAATACGTTGCCCTGTTTAAAAGTGCATTTGGTTTCTTCAAAGGAATCATACCTTTTGATCTTCAATCTCTTGCTCTTTCAGTAGACGTTCCAGGTCAGCCATATCATTATGTCTAAAAAACTTAATGTTACTTCTGGATGCCTGTAATCCTTTCTGAATAGCAAAGCAAGCTGCTTCATCACTGTAAATATACAGAATCTTCTCAGTTCATCCAGGTTTAGCAAAAGACAGCTCAAACTGCCTTTTCAAGACTGATCTCCTGCCACAGTATAGCTATCTAGTGCTGGTTCACACGGCACATTCTCTGGCTGTCCATTGGTCCCAGCTGTACACTTGTATGGATAAAAAAGGGGGTGTACTGGGCAATGAAAGATATGGTCAGCAGCAACTGCCATGATTACCAAAAAATCTGCCCAATAGCTACAGTTATAGGGCTGGATCCAGACTAAACTCCATCAGCAGAACAGAACTTTCCTGCTTCCCACTGATCTCTATGAAATGATGCTCCTCCTGGGAGACAGAAACTGCCAATTAAGTCTGGATACAACCCATAAGAATTATTACCAGCTACATGCGGGATCACACAGTTCACAGATTATGTGGACTAAAATAATAATAAGAAACCACAGAAAGATAACTGTGCAGAAAACACAGCACTAAGTAGATCAGTAAGACTGCTCTAGACAAGTTTTTTTTTTTTTTTAACGTTAAGTGAATCTTGTTTGCCAACTACACTTCTTTGCCTGGCTAACCTATGAGAATAGTGCAAAATTATTACAACAGCTGCTAGCAATTTTAAAGAGTTTATTTTGAATCAGCAATTGATTGTTAAAATGAAATCATTGCTTTAAAAACATTTCATAAGTGATTAAAAACTGTACTTTAATAGGCACTTAAAAATGATATCAAGACACAGTTTTGAAACTGACAGGATTAAATAAATGCTCTCAAGTGACATCTAATGTAAATCAGATCGGAGTAGTCACATGTGAGCATTTGGGAGTTCCCACTTCTTTCTATGATTTATAAAGGTGTCTTTAAAGCAGTTAATATATCTAACAATGGTTCATAAACCTAGACTGAACACTTATCAATACAAACATTTCTGAAAATGAAACACAGCTTCCTCTAAGAGCAGGTTCACATACTCAAACAGCAACTATTTGTCCCCTGTACATTATTTCTCCCAGTTATAAAATCACAGAGAAAAATATAACTGGATTGTACACAACAAACAGGAGCTGCGGTGGCTCAAGTGATTAAGACGCTGAACTGCAGGCTGTGGAAGGTCAGTAGTTCAGCAGTTCGAGACCCGGGTGCCGCATGATGGAGTGAGCTCCCATCTCTAGTTCCAGCTCCTGCCAACCTAGCAGTTCTAAAGCAAGAAACTGCAAGTAGATAAATAGGTACCACTTCGGTGGGAAGGTAACAGCGTTCCGTGCATCTTGGTGTTTAGTCATGCCGGCCACATGACCATGGAAACGTCTTTGGACAGCGCTGGCTCTTCGGCTTTGAAACTGAGATGAGCACCGCAACCCTAGAGTCGGATTCGACTGGCTTTCGAGCAAGGGAACTTTTACCTTTGCCTTTTGCACAACAAAACAAGCAGCAGCTGACAAAACCTAATGACATTAACCTACTGTTGCAACCTCACTGTACAGCCCAGCTTGTCTTCCATGCAATTCTGGATATGGAGGTAGTCAGGAACCTCCCATGGGGAGACAAACGCTGGCCATTATTTGACTTAAGCACACTTAAGGATTCTCCTGAAGGCTCACAAAATCTCAAACCTGTACACCTACTGGATGTACTTTGACTCCTTTATATGGCAACAGAATGGATTTTATTGCTTTCAGGAGAGATGGATGAATGGAGGTAACTCTCACAACAGTCTGTCTACACAGGAGTCTGCCATTCCTGGTTATACCCTTTCATGGACAACACAGAGCATGTGAGCCTAGTAACAACAAACACAGTAGGAACAGTCACAGTTGGCAGTTGCTTCCCCCACCACTGCAGTCATAGGAATTGTAGCTTCCACAGGCAGGATTGTCTGGTCCACAAAACTACATGGCAGAGAGTCTTGTGCAGACAGAGAGCACTGTATAAATTAGCCGTACTACTTTTCACCCCTTAGTGTTGGGATGGGACACCTAGAACTAAAATTCTATCTATGCCATAAACCCTTTTTAAAAAGCAGACATACATTAGGACGAATATGAAAGATACATACACAAACACAATGTCTCCTCGTTTTGAATAGGCAGGGATAGCACTTGCAATGGTAGCAAATCCATACGAATATATGATCGCTTCCTCAGTCCTCATAAATTTGGCAAGTCGCTCCTCCAGTTCTAAATGTACATCTGTTTGAGAAAAGGAGTCCACGCATTTGTAACATAACAGTTCTTTTAAAAAAGAATGACAAGTATTTAAGGTCGTCAACACCATGAAAATCCAGAATTTCATGCAGTCTTTTTTAGTATTTAGTAAACTGTTCTTGCACTACACTTTTCTAGCAATGAGAGAAAATACTGGCCAACAGCCTAGCACTCTACTATTTGTGATGCAACCCACTTTACCTTTTGACTATATCACCTCAAGAGGGCCTCGTGTATTTTAAAACAATTGGACTATACCGAAATACCTGCCAGGAATATTCACAAAAGAGAGGTAGTTTGAAACACATCTGTTGTGGAGAAACTAATTTTTTCATACCATATACAATAAAGAGATAGCGAAACATTTCACAGGCTTATTTACAAGCCTTGGGATAATGTTCTTTGCTCTGCATTAATGCAGAGAATTCCAACAGAAATTCCCTGGGCAACCAAAATGCTAGATGAACCAGCAAAGCAATCAGTGGAGTCAAATCTCTTCTCCAGATGCTCATTCCTTCTTCGTCTTTTTCACGGTTCAAATTTTTTCCATATTTACCTCTCCCCCAATGACCTTCCTACTCCCAACTTTTTATTCTGCTGAAATCGTCCTGCACAGGACTGCACTGTTGTTTCCATTCAGGTAAATACTTATATCTCCAGTTTAACATTTGATTGTCCTAAAGCCCTCATATTCATGACATTTCATGTGCAGGGCAGACACTGATTAACTGCCAAAGGTAAAGGAAGTCTGCTCAAACCCACTTGAACACACACAAAAAAAATGGACCAAAAAACCCCCCACCATTATGATGGCAAAACTTTATACGTTTTTTTTTTAAAAAAACTGATCTGGTAAATGACCAAACCATAAACGATAAATTTCTAACGTCTGCCACATTTCTGTCAGTGAAGTCACCCATTCCCTTTTAAGTAACTTGTCCCTATCCTGACCATTTCCATATAGGTCTACAAGAATGACATGTGTTTGGCCTCAAGATTCAACTAAATCCAACTCATTTAGTTAAAGTGCTGTTGCAGGTATTTCTACGAGCCTTGCAGAACAACTGGAAGAGAACACTGAACTGAAACAAGCAATTCAGTGACCAAAGAAGCCCATCTGCAACCACCTTTTTTAGGTCCCTTGTTTAGCATGTCCAGTGAAGATATGAATCGTATTCTATGATTACTTACTTAGTATTACTTCATGGATACACACACGTTAGTATGATTTGTCATTCTAGAATATGGTATCTGCGTGTCATCCTTGCACAGAGCCCATGCTAATCTTCTCTGCATCGTTCTGATTTTATTATATGTGCTGCTGAAGCTTGAATATAGTATTTTACTCATAATGGGAAATGGCAGGATAGTTATGTTTGGAAATAAGTTTAAAATCAAGATGTAAAATTTCTGGCCATTTTGAAGCCACAGGACAAAGCCTTCCCTTCCAACCCCGCGGACATTTCAGGGAAAATTGAAATACAAAAATGCATCATTTATAATTTATTTAGTATATAAATTGTACTATTTGGTACATTTATAGAAGCATAAATGTGTCTGTTTTCTAGAAGCAAAACTGCAAATATACCCTATACTGGAGGGACAGCTACGAGCTGCTGCACCCTATCCTACCTCAAGACATGTATATTGATTTTTGCTGTCTGACACCTGATGAGAGGGCAAAGGGGAGAAAAAGTAGGGCACGGAAGGGAAAAGATGGGATGAGGTGGCAGTAGGAGAAACGGCTGGAGAAAGCTGGAGAACAAAGCAGGGACCAGGGAGAGAATTTCCCCGAGTTTCTCATGGGTCCCTGCCTGTCATTCTCTGCATATTATCTCAAATACAATTTTTCATACTATACATTTTGAGTAAAACCTTGCCTTAAAAAGCATTCCACTCATTCCAAAAGAGAAAATACTGGGAGGGGGAGGACTCCTATATTTCCCCAAATTACTCAATTTTTCCATTGGAAACATGGAGGAAAAAATCCTTGAGACAACAATGGAAAAACTCAGGGCCTTCACATCTCCAGGCTCAATCCAGATGAGTGTGAACATACCACCCATACACTAGGTGGTCCAACAGAGCTAATAAGAACACTGTTTCATAACCGTTCTGCCAATATACCACCACACATGAGTGCACTGCAGGAAACAGGAAGTCCATGAACACTTCCCCATATACCCACCTAGTCTTCACTTCATGAGGGGGAGAAAACAGAACTATGGGGGTTTCCCCATATACACACCATATGTCTGAGTGGATTGAGGTCATATTTTTCTTAGCATGTAAATTATTTTTCTAACATAACAACACATTAATATAAATCACCTTATTTACATATAAAGCCACATATAATGGAAAAAGTGATGTCAGCCTGAAAACAAATTATCAGGTCATCTCCAAACAATATTTATTTTATCCCACTTTTTAATCCAAAATGCACTCTCTTCTTCTCCCACAGGCAACAATGAAGTATGTATCTTCAAATTTTATTAAAACACCGCAATCTCTCTCCATCAGCCAACTGATCAAAACAAAACTGGCAAAGTCTTCATTTTCAAGCTAAATTCAAATGACTAACATCTCTGAAGGAATCAAATATTAATGTCTAATGACTGAGAAGGCACGTAGAACTATTTTTACATGCTTTGTTACTAGCTAACAAAGAGCATATCAAATGCTGAGCACATAAATTTAAAGGGCCAGCTGACTCTTCACAACAGAAGGAAATCATTCACCGGTATAGTAAAAGCCTGAACAGGGATCTAGTGAAAACAACCCCCACTATTTTACTGCCATCAGAATAGTTAGAGAAAGGGTTAAAGAAAATGTTGCCACCTAAAATGCCAAAAATGTAACTGATAATGTGAACAGTCTGCCATGGAACCCTGAACAGTCCCAAATTTCAACCTTTTAAGCAAGCACCAGGGAATCCAACTGGAACTTCCAGGCAGTCAGACCCATAAGAGAAACCATGACACAACAGAAAGCATGGCTATCTATGCCATGCCCTATGAAGACAGAAAAGAAATGTCAAACACCCTCACGAGTCTTGATTAAACACAGGTAGGGAATTTCATAGGAGGGTTTGCATTATAGAACTCCCCTGCTTGAGGTTTAGGTTTCAAACCTCTTGATGCAGATAGCAGTTTTTAAGTAAAAAACAACCCCCACTATTTTACTGCCACCAGAATAGTTAGAGAAAGGGTTAAATAAAATGTTACCACCTAAAATGCCAAAAATGTAACGGATAATGTGAACAGTCTGCCATGGAACTCTGAACAGTCCCAAATTTCAACCTTTTAAGCAAGCACCAGGGAATCCAACTGGAACTTCCAGGCAGTCAGACCCATAAGAGAAACCATGACACAACAGAAAGCATGGCTATCTATGCCATGCCCTATGAAGACAGAAAAGAAATGTCAAACACCCTCATGAGTCTTGATTAAACACAGGCAGGGAATTTCATAGGAGAGTTTGCATTATAGAACTCCCTTGCTTGAGGTTTAGGTTTCAAGCCTCTTGATGCAGATAGCAGTTTTTAAGTATTTAATTCAGAAATCTGACTGCCCTCTTGTGGACTCTATAAAAGCATCTATTCAAAATCTGAAGCATCGTCTTCACTTTACTCATTCTACAAGACTTTTTCCACAGCCTTCAACTGAGCTACAGAGACTGCCTTTGTTTCCAGCAGCTCAGAGCTGAAAGGGGTTAGACAGAAAGTGATGCCTGTGGCTCAGCATAAATAGCAGAGTGAGGCAGAAGCCAAATTCTTTAATTTCTTCATCAAGTCCTTACTACTTCCAGAAGAAGCCCTTCCAAGACCATAATACTCCATGGATATCCAACCAGACTCCTCTACAGGGGAAGTAATATGCTCCCAAGCTGCATCTTAAGGCTTCAAGGAGTGCAAGATTCCATCCATCACTGGTAAGATTACAATTTATACACTAGGGACTCATATGGGGAATTTTTGGAGATTGCTTTGTGACAGAATTTTTAAATACTTATGTTGCTACAGTCAACAGACTAATGGAAGCCACTACAATCTCTATCTCTTTGCTCTACAGAAGCAGCCCACCAACCCTCTCCACCTCTTCTGTTTCAGATTTCTGCAGTCCAAATCCTAATGCATTTATTGGGTATCCCATGCTGTTGACTGTATTGACTTACACTGGCCAAGCCACCTTCAGTCTCAGTGAGAAAGGTGGACGATAAATAAATACCAACAATACACAGCTTTTTGAGAAGGCACTTCTACTCACCTTCCCAGCTGTGTGAAATGCACACACGTTCCAAAGCAAAAGTTACTTGTTTTATTCATATTGCTAAGCAAACTGATTTATACTGAGTATGAATATATTAAAATGCCCTCCCATCTACAGCTCCTTTACAGAAAGTAACTTTTACTTATCAATATCTTTAATACTGCATAGAAACAAGACAAATACGCTATAACTTACCAAAAGTTCCATAAAATCCTCTAGGCCCACAAGTTCCAACACCATATTTTGCCAGGGAAGCTTGTGCTGCATTCTTTAAAGGAACCGGGGGGGGGGGGGGGGAGAGAGAAAACAGTTAAAACACAGTTCTGTGGTAGAACTTGTCCTTTTCTGTATTGTCAGCACTGACACTTTCACGTTACAGCTCGTTCAAATTAATGGAGCACAACCATTTTATGAACAAGACCACAGAGAGAGACCTGAAGGGATTCAGTACCCCAAAAACTGCTAAAGCTAAGCAGGCCGAACTCTAGGAGCAAGGACTGAGAACCTCCACGCTCTCAGTAAGATATAAAAAACCCCACCACTCCAAATAACCATTTTAATCAAGGGCAATAGAACCTTAGCATTAGTCCTTCCTTTTCACAGGAGCCCAAATGACATTAGTAAATCCTAGACTTTGTACCATCCCTTCCTTAGAAAGCAAGCATTTTACCTGTTACCTGAAGTTTTAACTTCACAGTGACCATTTGGAAAAACGATGTCATATAGTTTATGTAATAAATGAAAACTGCACTGTTACTTTACACAATGGACAGATAGTAAAATTTTCTCTTATCAACAAGGTTTTATTTTATAAGCTGACATGCATAAAATTCACAATAGCTGAAAGCTACAACTGAGAATAAAGAGGATGTAACCCTCCGTAGCCTTACATTCTCCACACAAGGGAACCATGAAGCAAGGATATTCAAAGAGATCAATCACTGTTCATGAAAATTTTCCTTTCTCAAAGATGACAATTCTTAAGTTAGGGAAGTATTAGATTTGGGTAGACTATTAATGCAGTTACCAAGTTTGTGAACCTCTTTACTATCCACTTATGTTTCAGCAGCAATATAAGATACTCACCTTAACCCTTTCATTATCCAGAAGTCCAAGGAAATTAAACGATGCAAAATTTATGCATTCTTTGCCATTCACAATAATGTTATGACTTGGAGGCCTTTTAAAAAAAAGGATTAAACATCACTCAGCTTGATAACAGTGAATATAACTTCGTGTTTCAAGTAGAAAATGTGTTTTGGAAAAGATTACTTTGGCCATTTCTGCACTCTCTTCAAGAAATACACTGAAGTTCAAGGTACTAGTGAATTGCAGAAATTGTGATATTTTATGATCTGGCTACCAATGTATCTAATTCTCAACATTGCCACATCCGTGGTAACTTAAACCTGGAGCCATAAACAGATGACACATCTTTCTACAAACCTAAGAAAAGCCACAGGTTTGCACAAGAATCTGAAATCTAAAAATAAATAAATAAATGGTGTGTTTAAAAACCCCCAGATGACAGAAGTGGCACCAGCAGCTTTAAGGAACAAATGGCCTCAAACACCATTCCTAGGCAACCGCAACAGTATCGCCAGCCTTCAAACCTTAGTTTATGTCAATAAAAGGAAGAGGGAGGGGGCAAGGCCCTTTCAAAGGCTGTTTAGGTCTTTGAGAGAGGACTCATCATGGGCCAGGCTGGGCAACAATCACCAGGCGAGTTGTTACCCCATGACCTGCATGACTCACCCAGGCCTGGTTGCTTGCTACTGCTCAACAGCAGCCACTGCACAAAAGCCAGTGTGATGTGGTGGCTAGAGTTTCAGACTAGCACCTGGAAAACCCAGGTTTGAATCTCCACTCTGCCATGGAAGTTCATCAGGTGACTTTGGGCCAGCCACACACCCTCAGCATAACTTAATTCATAGCACTGTTGTGAGAATAAAACAGAGAGAATGATATAACTTCAGCTGGTCCAGAATGCAGCAGCGTGTGTCCTTACAGGGACACCATTCAGAGTCCATATACAACCAGTACTCCCAGTGGAATACAAGATCAAGTTCAAGGTTTTGGTTTTAACCTTAAAAGCCCTATGCAGTCTGGGACCAAGATACCTTCAGGACCGTCTCTCCCAGTATGTCTCTCAAAGAGTGTTACACTCTATGGACCAACATCTGCTGGTGATCCCCGGCCCGAAGGAGGTCCGCTTAGCCTTGATCAGAGCCAGGCTGGTAGAACACTCTCCCAAGAGAGATCTGGGCCCTGCGGGACTTAATACAGTTTTGCAGGGCCTGCAAAACAGAAATGTTCCGCCAGGCCTATGGTTGAGGCAGCGGAAATCTAGCAATAGAGGCCTCCCCTGGTATGTTTTCCATCGTATATTGTTTTCTTGTCTCCCAACCTCCCGCATTACTAGTTACCATCTACAGGATACATATATGGCAGTTTTAAGTGGTGCCATAAATGATATTATAAATGACATTGTACTTAGATATTAATTTACTGTAGTATTGTATTCTATCATATTGTTGTAACCAGCCCTGAGCCTTGCACTGCAGGGAGAGGGTGGGCTAGATATCAAATAAATAAATAATCTGCTTTGGGTTTCCATTGTGGAGAAAGGAAGAGTGTACATGAAGTATATTAATAAATATAGCTGAAGAAGGGGCAGATAAAAGGTAGGTTGTCTGATGAGTGGGAAAGAGAGAAGGACGCAAGGAAATGTGAAGATATGGGGGCTGCCAAGAGGAGGAAAAATGGAATAATTTGGGGAGGAGGGTGCAAGAGAAAGTAAGATGTCCCCTGCAGGTCCCTACTGTGCAACTGGTCCTGGCCCAACAGCCAGCACTGTGCAGCATTTTCCCAAGGGGAGGCTGACAGGGAAAGGGAAAGCTGAAGACAGCAGATTAAGGTAGGTTGGCTGATGGGTGGGGAGAAGGAAGCTGGAAAAGGTGAGAAGCTATGGGGTCTTTCAGGGAACTGAAGGAGGAAACAGTGGGGTATGGGCAAAGGACATGATTCTCCTGAGCCCAGGCAGTTCCCTCACTTATAAGGGCTCTACTGGTAGCAGGAGCTCCTTTGCATATTAGGCCACACACCCCTAGTGTAGCCAATCCTCCAAGAGCTTACAGATATGGGAAATCCAGTTTCCTCATATGAACTTGGACTGAACCGTTCCACTTGGCCTGCCATTCAACGCAGTCACTTGCCCTGAAGTGTAAAGACCTGCTGGTTCCTGCTGGTAAATTTAAAGCCAGTTTGGTGTAGTGGTTAAGAGCGTGGACTCTAATCTGGGAGAAGTGGGTTTGATTCCTTGCTCCTCCACATGTAGCCAGCTGGGTGACCTTGGGTCAGTCACAAGTTCTCTCAGAGCTGTTCTCTCAGGATCAGTCCTTGGAAGAGCTCTCTCAGCCCCACCTACCTCACAGGGCAGGGCACCTCCTCCTCCTCCTCTCCTTCTTCTTAATTTACACCCCACCTTTTGCCCTAATGGGAACCCTGACCTGGATAATCCAGGCTAGTGCAATCTTGTCAGATCTCAGAAGCTAAGCAGGGTTGCTCCTGGTTAGTACTTGGATGGGAGACCTCTGATGAAGTCAGGGGTCGCTATCCTGAGGCAGGCAACAGCAAACTACCTCTGTATGTATTTTGCCCTTACCTGCATTCACATTGGCTTGGAGCTTCCTTTTCTTGACTGTTTTGGAAAGTGTGGCATGGGGACTTGGAAAGCATGGACATGGCCCCAGTTCCTTGTAAGTGCTCGGGCTGCACGGATTTTGAGTCCTTTCCCAAAGATGCACTGATCTTCCTTTGAATGGAAGGTTCTCAGCTCTTTCTGATCTTGAGAGGGGTGAACTGATTTCCAGAATGTGCTGATGAATGGAGAAATACTTATTTCCTTAATAACATGCCACACACTCACGTGCTGTATGTATGGATAAATGAGTGAGTTACTTCGCCCTCGCCTGTTTGAGTTGTTTAGCTTTTTAATTCCTGATTTGGGCTCCTGGTAGAATGGGCATTTTTCTTGTGGTAGGTTGTGGTGACCTGTTACAATAGGGTTTCATGTCTTGGCGGGACTGGTAAACACTTGGAATAGTCGCACCACTTAGATGTGTTGGAAATGTATGTGTTTACAAGGTCTGACAATCCAGTCATTAGAGGGTTAACTGCTTCTACTGTGATATAGATTGGTTGTTTGTTTTCAGGGGACTTCCTTTTCTAGGGGTCGAGAAGAAGGACAGATTCTCCATTATCTGTGTGCTAGTGTTTGACTATAGACAGCTTAGAAAATGTAGCTGTTACAGTTCTCTTTATTTGTAGTAACCCGTGTACCCTTTACCCTTAGAAATAAAGGTTTTTAAAAGCAAAGACATCTCTTCTTTCCAATAGAGCAAGATCCATTGATAGTCTGAGTATTAAACACTTTTAACAATTTTTACAACAAGATGCACACAGAGTTTTGTGTTGGCTCTGAGCTTCTCTCCTGTCCGTGTGGTCCCAACCCTAGACCTTGCCATCTCCAGTTGAAAAAACCAGGCAGTAGGTGATCATAGCATCACAGAATCCTAGAATCACAGCGCTGGAAGGGGCCACACAAGCCATCTACTCCAACCCCCTGCTCAATGCAGGATCAGCCTAGAGCATCCCTGACAAGGGTTTGTCCAGCCGCTGCTTGAAGACTTCCAGTGAGTGGGAACTCAGTACCTCCCGAGGCAACTGATTCTATTGTTGCACAACTCTGACTGTCGAAAAGATTTTTCCTAAGATCCAGCTGGTACCTTCCTACCCTTAATTTAAACCCATTATTGCGAGTCCTCTCCTCTGCTGCCAATAGAAACAGTCCCCTGATCTCCTCTAAGGGACAGCCCTTCAAGAGAGCCATCCTGTCCCCCCTCAGCCTCCTCTTCTCCAGACTAAACATTCCCAAGTCCCTCAGCCTTTCCTCACAGGGCTCGGTCTCCAGGCCCCCAATCATCCTCATCGCTCTCCTCTGCACCTGCTCCATTCTGTCTACATCCTTTTTCGCAGGGCTCTTTTTGTAGCAGGAACTCCTTTGCATATTAGGTGACACCCCCCCCTAATGTAGCCAATCCTCCAAGAGCTTACAGAGCTCTTCTTACAGGGGCTACTGTAAGCTCTTGGAGGATTGGCTACATTAGGGGTCTGTCGCCTAATATGCAAAGGCGTTCCTGCTACAAAAAGAGCCCTGCGAGTTTTTTGAAGAGAGGCCTCCGGAACTTCACACAATGTTCAGGTGTGGTTTGACCAATGCAGTGCACAGCAGGACTATGCCCTTTACCTGAAGACCTTTACCTGAGACCCTGTCCATCTGAGTAGACAATACTGACCATGATGAACCAATGATCTGATTCAGTATAAGGTAGTTTCATGAGCTCATGGGACTCCCCTGGCCTTCCTTCCGGGCGGGTGTTCTTTGGGCTCCCTCTGCCCCAGCCATGCCAGCTTTGTGCCTTACAAGAGATGGCCACGCTACTTTCTATAAATGATGAAGCCGCATTCATAGAATCATAGAATGTTAGAGTTGGAAGGGACCTTTCAGGTCATCTAGTCCAACCCCCTGCACTCTGCAGGAGCATAGCTGAAAGACAGCCCTACATACCTACATCATACCCGAAAGATGGTCGCCCGAAAGAGAGTCACCCAGCCTCCACTTCAAAATGTCCAGCGAAGGAGCATCCGCCACCGTTCCAAGGCAAACTGTTCCACTGCTCAACCAGTCTTACTGTTAGGAAGCTTCTCCTGATATAGCTCCTGCTACCAGTAGAGCCCAAATAATAAACTGTGGCTGTGTGTCTTTGTATGGGAGCATATTATCCCACTACATAAAGAAATTTTCCCACTGTTTCTGTTAATACATGCTGCTTACAAGTTTTAGCAAAGAAACCTTCCTACCATTAGCAGATACTGTAATTCAAAGGCGACAGCATTCCTAACTGATGAAGTTATGCCTTTGTGCATTTCAAGGATTACCTCTGAGAGTCTCTGCAAAATAGTTATGTATTTAAATATATATGTATATATGAAATACAGTTTTAATATTTCCTGTTGCTCAGGGAACACAACATTATTCAAAAAGCAAATTCAAGATAAATAAAAGTTTTAAAGTACCTTTCAGAAAAATTTAGACTGTTTAAAATATATTAGATTTAATTGTTTAATTAATAAAAACACAGGCTGGATTAACTTCAACTAAATTGTGCTTGGGGTTTTGGCTTGCAAATGGAATCATTAAAAATTAAGACAGAACAACACAGCAAAAATGATTCATGCAGAGAAAATTTTCACTAATGAGTACGACTTATGTCTTCTTGGTACTACAAGCATTTTATACAGCTTTATCAAAGTGCTATAAAACTGGTAATGCCACATATTAATTCCTATTATTTTCTGCATTTAATAATGAGTCCACATATGCTTAATCATTCAAAAGGTCCGTACACTGTTATTACACTTTCTAGACAATTAATAATTGTACAAAAGTATACTAGCCTACCACTTAAATGACTAATGCAAGTTTTTATTTCTGAGCTAGTTTCGTATTACATGTGTTTATTAACTTGTCTACTGAATCTCACTAGTCTCCACCAATGGTACAAGAGGCACAAGTATATTATGAAGGTTAGCAATTTCAGGGACATGACTACAAGGCACTGCTTAACAAAGCTGGTGATCTTGTATTTTATTTTAAAGAACCATGCAGCCATGAGACAACAGCTGTACGCATTGGGATTGCAATGCTAGTTCACATGAGTAAATTAATTCTACCTATCAATCATTATTATACAGTGAATTCAACATAGCATGACAGGTAAGTCTGTAGCGTTCACTTATCATTTGTTTTCCCACTACTAAGCAGTGAGCTATGGAATTCATTTTAAACCAGAGGTTCCCAAACTTATTTGGCCTACCGCCCCCTTTTCAGAAAAAAAATTACTTAGTGCCCCCCTTCAAGAAGTGGACAAAAAGATGCAGTTTGTGGATCTGCACCTGGATAATTCCAGCCCACCTGGGTCGTTCCAGTGCCCCCGAAGGGGCAGTATTGCCCACTTTGGGAACCAGTGTTTTAAACAATTATACATTTTTAAGGAGTTCATGCTTCTATGAAAATGCATTTCAACCCAGCATGGAGCTTTCATGCATTAAGAGATACCTATTATCTGCAAGAACAAATTTAGTCACATTTCATTATACTTGATTTTTTAAAAAACCCACAATGTGGATATAACTGGGTTCACCTAATGCAATAAAGTTTAGCAACGTGGGGACCCCATTTTGATTTTAGATTCTTCACAGACAGCTTACTGGCACCCACCACATGCTAGAAAGCCCCTTGGTCAAACTGCACACAACAAGCCATGCTGGTCACGCACAGGCCTCCATTCTCAAGTATCACCAAAGTAATACATTAAGAACTTTATCAGCTATACTATAAAAGGAAGTTTGAGTAAAATGTTTTGATTGCCAGTATATCACCTACAAGATCATGTGTCAGGGGTAGCTTATTTTACAGCACCACAACTAAAAAACTCCTGACCTAAGTTCTAGTCCACTTCACACCTTGATTGGAAGAACTTTGCATTACAGAGAACAAGAAGCTATGATATTGGTTAATAACTTCTAACTGGAAGCTTGATGAATAGGGACCTGGAAACATTTCAGAGATGCTCATCGAAAATAGAAAAAGAGCAGCATCATACAAAGTTTAATCTTCTGTTATTCAACTGAAAGCCACACTTTATTGGCTGTTATTGTCTATGATCACAGAGCAGCATCTTTATCTTTTAGTATGATGAAACACTGTGCATTGGAAAACACAGTAAAAGCCAGTTCAATTTTATACCATACATAGCTATGATGACTACATCATGATTTGTATCTTCTTGGTGGCACTCAGACAATTAGAGTTTCCAGAGGTGAGCTATTTGATTCAGCAACTAATCAAGTCATTTTCTGGCTACTACTCTGGGGTGATCTAGAAGCTTGATGACCATGAGTGGTGGCAGCTACACAGGTTCCTGCTCTTCAAAAGAGCCAGTTCTGATCCATTCCCCTTAGGTGGAGTGACACTGCCTTGCAGACTCCCAGAACACCCTCACAGACCCCAGTTTGAGAAACACTGCAACCAGTAAAAAGAATTCACAGTATACGACAATAATTATACAGAATGATTCCCTATAACGGAGACAAGTAATGGATTCAGAACACTAGACAAACATCTATTAATTGCTGGAAAAAATGTAAGCAGTATGATGAACAGTAGGAAAGGCCAGCCCCAAGAAATGGGAATGCAATATGGAGTTTTCTACTTCAACACTGAATCCCAACAGATACAGAAGCGAATGTCTTCTGTTTGTCATTCAAAGGCTATCCAGAAATTCAGTGGCTTATGGAATTTGGCTTCCTGAAGGAATGGAGCAGCAGCAGGCAACCTCTTGGCCTGAGTGTGGGGGAAAAAAAACCCTATGAACATGTTGGTGCAAGGACAAACAAATTGGGGGGGGGGGAGAAATAGACTAGGGTTATACTTAGACATACTTTGAGCAAGCCAAGCTCCCCTAGTGTAGTCAGCACATCAGTGACTCTTCTCAGACCTAGTATGAGAAGCCACTAGTGAAATGCCTGCAAGATCTTTAAGGCCATAATTTTAGCTTAAGACACGAGGTGCAATACCACATATTTTCTTAAGTTTATAGGGGCATGGAATTTTGTGACAGCAGGCCAAATCTCTGGGATGTGTTGGTATCACAGAACTGCCTCACAACAAGAGGACCAATTAAAACATACCCTTTAGACAGACACAAGACAAACTGTTTTTTTCATTTTGTTTCAATTATCAATGTTTTTTCTATGCCAAAAAATCAACTTTGCACCATGTAGAAAACATTAAATCTTCATAGACGATCACTAGTTTTACTGTCCATGTTAACATAATGAAGGCAGTCTGAGTTTTATTTAGTACCCACTGACATTCCTCCAGTTTAGTTTACCGACTAGGGGTGTGCACAACAACAAAATCAGCATTTTTCGGGTTTGGGTATATTGAACCAAAAAATATTGGTATTTCCTAATATTCCCGAATCCCAATATTGTATGGTATTGGGATGGTATTGGGATTCAGGAAATATTTGGGATTAACAAACTTTTCCAGCTCCATTATATCCTATGGGGACCATTCTAATCAATGGTCCCCATAGGCTAAAATGGAGAATAGATCTGGGGGTATCTGAAGCTCTAGGGGGGGCTGTTTTTTGAGGTAGAGGCACCAAATTTGCAGTACAGCTGCTGGTGTCTCACCTCAAACACACACACCCCTCCAAGTTTCAAAACGACTGGACTAGGGGGTCAAATTCTATGGGCCCAAGAAGGTTTCCAAGACGGTTGAAAGCCAGTTTGGTGTAGTGGTTAAGTGTGCGGACTCTAATCTGGGAGAACTGGGTTTGAGTCCCCACTCCTCCACTTGCACCTGGCTAGATGACCTTGGGCAAGCTGTAGTTCTGATAAGAGCTGTTCTTGAAAAAGAGCAGTTTCTGTCAGAGCTCTCTCAGCCCCACCTACCTCACAGGGTGTCTGTTGTGGGGAGGGGAAGGGAAAGGAGTTTGTAAGACACTCTGAGACACCTTTGGGTAGTGAAGGGCGGGGTATAAATCCAATCTCTTCTTCTCTTCTTCTTCCAATGGAGGGGGGGAAAGGCATTTAAAGGAACACGGTCTTTTTAAATGCCTTCTCCAAGCCACAGCACAACTCTGCGCCACAGCAAGTTAACTCCAAAGGCATTTAAACACCTTGCTGAGAATTCACTCTAAAAGCATTGAGGTTGGTGAGTGAACTTCAAAGGCCTTGCTGAGAGATCACTCCATCATACCCTATGAGTACCATTATAGGCAATGGTCCCCATAGATAATAATGGAGAATCAATCCGGGGTATCTGAGGCTTGAGGGGGGCTGCTTTTTGAGGTAAAGGCACCAAATTTGCAGTGTAGCTGCTGGTGCCTCTCCTCAAAAAACCCCCCAAGTTTCAAAAAAATTGGACCAGAAGAAGGTGTCCCCATTCTCCATTGTTTCCAATGGAGAAAAAAATGTTTACAGGGACAGTCCCTTTAAATGCCTTCTCCAAGCTGCACCACAGTGAGTGAACACCAAAGTGAACTGTAACTGCAGCTATCTGGTGGCCTTTGGGATTTTTCAGGGTAGCCATTTTTGGATAGCCGAGTAAATGGCCCACTTGCTAACCGGCTGAAAAAATATCTGTCAAATATTGATATTGTATTTTGGGGGGTATTTTTTCAGCTCAGTGTAGCAGAATGCACACCCGTTACCATGTTTAGACTCACTAAAAGAAGTATTTGCTGAATAAACTCTGGAAAAAAGTTTCAGTCCACTAATTAATGCAAATAAAATGACTAAGTCTGATTATTCTAGTGCCTTCCTTAAGATATTTTGGAACTCAACTATATGTTCAAATGTTGATCCATGTTGTAGCCAATACTCCCTCTAAGCTTTGGAGACTTGTGAACAAAAATTCTACTTTGTGAGCTACTGGCATTAAAGTTGTGAGCAAGCGATTTGGCTACTGCATAAATTAGTTGGCTCTGGAGCCATTCTTCCTGAGCTAAGACAAAAATGTGTGAGCTGGAGGCTAAAAAACTGTGAGCTAGCTCACAATAACTCAACTTAGAGGGAACACTGGTTGTAGCCTGTTCTCGAAATCTGCAATAAAACAGTATTCCCTCAATATACTTTCCAGGAAGCAAGTAGCTTTGAAGTTAGTAGAACTTGTTACAAGTAAACATGCACAAGATTAGGCCACAAGTCTAATATAAAATTCCTACATTCCATATTTACCCTGAAACAACGTTATAGTTGAGAGCTGGATGGTCTTTTGGTACAGGAGGAACAAGAGGTTCTGGCTGCCATTCTTCAATCAATTCTTCCTTTTCCTAAAACAGACAAAAGCCAAAATATTGAGCTTTTTCTCTGAACTCTTCATGCAACACTTTCAGCAAACCAACACAGAAAAATGTTTTACTCATCACTACAGCATTGCTAAACACAAATTATTGCAAATTATTACACTGGCTTGGAACCACAGAAAGGTGTGGCTGGGGGAAAAGCATCCCCATATAGTACAAGGGGCTCTCATATGATAAAAAACCATGCTCCTCCTCCTTCCTCTCCCTATGAAGGTTCAGGGTCCTCTAGGGCCAACTCACTAGTAATATGCAGTAATCTAACAAAGGTCATATTTCACCCCACAGGCAAATGTTGTCCAACAAGACTTGTATGAGTATACTGCAGCTCTTATATCAAGCATTATGTGTTTGTGTTAAGTGCCGTCAAGTTGCTTCCAATTTACAGCAACCCTACGTATTAAAGTCCTCCAAAATGTCCTATCATTAACAGCCATTCTCAGGTCTTGCAAACTGAGGGTTGTGGCTTCCTTGATGGAATCAATCCATCATGTTGAGTCTTCCTCTTTTCCTTCTGCCTTCTTTTCCTAGCATTGCCATCTTTTCCAGTGGCTCTCATCTTCTCAGTCAAGCATTCTAACCATCAAAAATACTGATCATTAGCTTTCTGTTGCAGTACTGATTTGAATATTAGACACCGAACCTTTGGCGTAAGGTCAGATCGCTCCTGAAGCTTGTATGTTTTGGAGAAAAGCAGTCTGATTATCCAAAGGATTAGAATACCTTCCAAAATAAGATGATAAGTTGGAGCCTAGAAATTAAAACAAAAATATTAATTGAATATTAACAATTTCTTCAAGATAGCCATCTATCTTTAAAATATGTTTAATTCACCATTTTAGCTATACCTTAAGTCATCTTATAGCACAAGTACATTGATGTCATAAACATTACTTTTAAGAAGCCCGGCAATGTCTGACCAGAAAGTGTGTGTGTGTGGGGGGGTGTTCCACTGTTGGGAACCTCGTGTTTGGCAGCAGGATATTCAGATACCTCCCATCCTTTTTTTAAGTCACCAAAAGGGTAGGAGGTGAAAGGGAGGAAAGGCTGAAGCCTCTCCTCTTGCTGTGCTGGGCTGCAGAGCAGAATAGGGGCAGACGGTACTTTTAAAGGTGAGTCTTTAGTCAAACGTCTCATGTAGTGAGACCCTCAGTGATACTAAAAGCACAGGAGAGGAACAGAATTTGTATGTATTCTCATGAAGGTACTGAAAGCATGAATGTCTGATTAGTCATCCCAGCCTAAACATAATATGGAAGCATCTTGTGGCTGTGAAACTACAAATTTACAGTTCACAGACACATAATACTTTACAGGAGAGCTTGTGCAGAAGGTTTCAAGCTGATGAGGTTAATTAAAGGGAGCAACTTTTAAGGTATCATGCAGGATTTTGGTAAGCTCTGAACTCTGGTAATTGATGTTGAGAATCTCATATTCTAATAGTGAAATTGGCCAAATCTTTGGATACTTCAATCTGGTGACTAGAACTGTGAATGGGCACAACAGATCTTTCTACAAATGTGAAAAGGACCCCAGGTTTGCAGAAAAATCTGAAATCTAAAAAACAAACAAAAATGATAAAAGGAGTGCTTGTAGCTTTAACAGATTCCCTCAATGGCTGTTGCCAGGCAACCACAGTATTCCAGGCTAGGTTTGTGAGGAAAAAAACAGAGGAAGGGAACAGTGAGACCCAGGTTTGAAATCCTATCTGGCTGTGGAAACTAACTGAGTGATTTTGGACCAGTCACATATTTTCAGCATAACCTACCACGCTGAGTTGTTGTGCATATAAAATGGAGGAGAGAAGAATAACATAAGCAGTTTTGGTTCCCACTGTGGGAAAAAGCGGGTTATGAATGAAGCAAATAAATAATAAATATAACTGAAGATGGGAGGTAGATAAAAAATAGGTTGATGAGTGGCTGAGAAGGAGAGAATGAGGCAGGGAAAGGGGAGAGGATATGCAGGTTGCCAGAATAAGGGGAAGAGGAAATAGCATGGGAAGGGGGATACAGGGGGAAATGAGGTGTCACCCCACAAGTCCGTGAGGGTTCCCTACCATGCAAGTTGGCCTGGCCCAGCAGCCAGTACTTCACAACTGGGCCACAGTTTCCTAGGTAGAGGGTGCTGGGGGAGGGAGCTTAAGACAGAGGAGCAGATAAAGATAGGTTGACTGTTGGGTGGGAAGGAGATTAGGAAATTCTTAGAGATTTGGGGGAGTGGAGCCTGTAGAAGGTGGGGTTTGTAGAGGGAAGGGTATAAAGCCATAGACTACACCCTCCAGCCATTTTCTCCAGGGGAACTAGGGTTGCCAACCTCCAGGAAGGGGGCAGGAGATCACCTGGAATTACAACTGCTCTACAGATGACAGAGATCAGTTCCCCTGGAGAAAATGGCTCCTTTGGAGGGTTGACTCTATGGCATTATACCGTGACAAGTTCACTTCCGTTCCCAAACCTCAGCCTCCCAAGGCTTCACCCCCAAATATCCAGGAATTTCCTAACCTGGAGCTGACAACTCTAAAAGGGGAAACTTATCTCTGTAGTTAGAATAGTGGGGGATGGAGAACTGAGATGCCTCCTGCAAGTCCTTGTGGATTCCCACTTGTTAGATATATTGATGATGTGTTGGTTCTCTTGAACATTATTAAACTACAAACCCATGAAGTCATGTAGACTGGAGGACGAAAGGTTACAGATACCTAGGGAAATAATTCTTAGTTCTTACTACACTTACAGGCTAAACCAATCAAATTTTTCTGACTTACAGCTATGATGACTGGGATATTTTTATATATCTCTGTACAAGTCTGGTTTGCAGTCTCTGCACTTTGAGTTATGAGATACAGCTTCTGACTAGAGACTGTGCTACTTCTGGTAGAAGAGTATCATCCAGCAGTCAATGGGCATTGCCTCCTACTGAATCAAGCTGCTTGTCTATTTAACCCAATAAACAAACATGAATTTGCCTTTGAGATAAACCATTAGTCAATCTAACAAAGTACTGATACCTCTGGTGATACCTCTCTCAAGTCCCCAGCATCATTATTTCTCTTCACCTATTATGTGATCAATTAACTGAAAATGCTAAGGATTAAATGTGGGACCTCCTGGAAGCAAAGCATGTAACCTACCACTGAGCTATGGCTCCTCCCTTGACAAATAGCAACCAAATCTTTATGCTAGATTAAATCTTTTAGGTGCTATTAGAGATACTCTTGTAGGTGATGCCTAGGTTTGAAGGTGGGGTCGTGTGTATGCAAACCATATAATTTCTACCACTGGTATCTACAGGCTCCATCCACTAACCTTATTCCATTCAAAAACCAAATTAAATTTTCTGTTGCATTTTGTACAGTAGGGAAACTAATATTCAATTGATTGACACAAAACACTTCTAGAGGAGATAGATCAAGATGGGTAGTCATGTTTGTCTGCAGCAGTAGAAAAGAGCAAGAGTCCAGTAGCACCTTAAAGACTAACAAAATATGTGGCAAGGTATGAGCTTTTGTGAGCCACTGCTCGCTTCTTTCTAGAGCAGAAAATGAAATCATACAGTAGGACTTGGGAGTTGTTTCATGCAGGATCTAGACAGAAGCATAATGTAACAATACTCAAAACTAGCAGCCAAACACTAAATATATTTACCCTAAAATGAGCCCGAACAAATTAAATTGGACTTGCTTATGTTTACTCAGAAACCAATCTTATTGAGTTCAACAGCACTTATGCCAGGTAAGTGTGCACTAAATTACACCTTTAATTCTCAGAAAGTAATTTTAGGACTATCACCATAATGAGATTTCATGGCTGCCTTGTATCCAGGCAAAAGTAAGTATAAGAGAACATCCCAGAGCCAACCTTTTCACCACGTTGCAAACCTGAAGGCAGGGCCTGCATCCCATTTTAATTAACACCACCCACACTTAACAGTGGATTTCTGACTGATATGAACCATTTTATTTTTGGAAATAATCTGTCTCAAAAACAGGATGAAAGTTGTAACTAAACAAGTTTTGCTTTTAATTATAAATGACCATGGGAAAACCTGAACTGCAGAATTTCCCAGAACAATGTTTAGATGCCCTATTATAGAGTGTGATATAATTTAGCATGCCTATTTTGACTTATAGTCAACAAGAATAATTTTATGTCCAACCAAAATTTGTACTGAAATACTTCATTAGGAAAAAATAGTCATGTGTTTAAATGTTATATTCAAATAAATTGGCGGCCTTATATGAATTTTGTTTATTGGACTAAAACTTGTTAGCTCTTTCCGCAAAGGTCACTGGGGCACGTTTCACAATTACTCTCCATGTACTTTATACGCGTTGCTTGTTAGTCCCATATCAAATTGGTGGTTCCGCTATCCTTTCGCCCATGTGAAAGAAGAAAGATATAAATAAGAATTTTACTTCAGCAACAGTATTCACTTCTTATTTATTTTCTGAAACACTATATTTTTAGATTCCGCGCCCCCCACCCCCACACACAGAAAAACAGAGCAGTGGAAGGGTTTTCTATCGCTTGTCTCTGGTGACAGCAACAAGACCTACAATCGAGTTCCATTTCTGCAATCATTCTGTTCTGCGTTGTTTGTCTACAAGTAAGTATGCCCGGGGATACTGCTTTAAATTACTAGTATTCGAGACTCATTATGAGGACCAGAGAGACACACATAGACACGTCCTGCACCTTCGAAATTGACCAAACATAGTTATACTTCTTCTTCCCCTCAACAAGAACTTTTTACTTGGACGACCAGGGCTGCCTTGTCTATACGGGCATCACCTCGGATGAGGTTTCATTAGATAGGGCACAATTCAGGAAAAAGATTTAATTACCTACTCTAAGACAGAATCAGGATTTTTATTTTTAAAAAGAAACAACCGAAACAGTTTATTTAAAGAATTGCGGTTTTTTAACGACTTCAAAGACGACATGAGTGTCCTTCTCCCGGCCCAGCCGCCGCCTCCTCCTATCTCCCGCCTTGCCGGAATCCCACTTCACTTGCCTTCCCCTTCAACCCCAATGCTTCCAAGCCAGGAGAAGGAAGGGGAACTCGGTGGCTCCTGCAGCCACTTCTCACAGCCCAGCGGGGCCTCCTCACGTTCCCTGAAGAGTCCCCCTGCCTTTCCCGCTCACCTCATAAAAGGCCTGGACCATCTCCACGAGCACCCACTGCTGCCCCATCCCCTCCGCTGCCGCCATCGCCCCGAACGGCTTCCGGGTCCTGATGGGCGCGTACGTCACGTCACCCAGAAAAGGAAGGGGGGTGCGGTTGCTTTGCTGACGCTTCCTGGCTGGCTGGCTGTCTGGCTGGCGGAGGCCCGTGTGGAGATCGTATGCAGGCGGCCTTGAGCTTCGAGACTGAAAAGAAGGCGGGGTAAAATAAACTCCCGCACGCCGTAGAAGCCGGTCGCCTGCAGTTAGCAATGCTTGGGAGATCTCGCTTCTCATAAAGCTTGGGAATCCTGGAAGAATGACGTTTGAGGATCTTAAAAAGCACGCTTTGCAGCTCGCTAGAAATAGCACACTATGCTTTATGGCCTATAAACCGACTGTTGATAAATTCTGCTCACCTCGTGCCGTTGTGCAGTACGTATGACTTTATAGATGATCTCTGAGAACTGAAATCCACACACATGAGGAAGTGGGCTGTAGCCCAAGCACCGACTGTTTGTCTTAAGGTTCCCACAAGACTCCCTCTTTTGCTGTGACAATCTATAAAGGGCCCGCAGACCATATGATTGCAGAGCCCAGGAGGCAGGCAGCTACATGAAGATCTTCTCCATACATGCAGTTGTCATGTTTGAAAGGGGCTTTGATACAAGCAAACTAGAATCCGGAAAGGCTAGTGTAATGTGTACAAAGGTGGTATGTGTGGGTCTTTTTCAGGCAATCCAGCTCTAGTTCTCCTTAGAGCTCTGTCAGGTGAGGCTGTGGAAGTCCTGAATAGGTGCTTGGATAGGTTCAATAAACTGAAGCTCAATCCAGATATGGCTGAGATGTAAGACACAAAGGGTGCCTGAAACGCACAACACAGTCCTGTAGAGAGGAATTCACTAGAATATTTATTAATTAATAAAGGAAGAGTACAGATCTCAAGGTTTTGGAACCCTGAATACCCAACAGACTCTTGGAGTTTTACAATGGGTGACATAGGATTTTATACTCAAGATGACACACACCAATAAAACAAGATTATTGGTTCTATCAAACAGCAGCACTCTGACCTAACAGGTCTCTGATTGGCGGAAAACCTTTTAGGCTGGGCTTTCCCAAGTAAAGTTTTTTTTCTTTTAGCTTAACGATAAGTGTTTCTTTCTCTTAGACTGTAAAATTCTAAAAGTATCTATATAGCTGATATCTTACAAGGTGCCATTGTTCTTCGTTTAGCCAGAGACATGTGCAGTTATAGCTGGCCTACCAAGGCCATAAGCCTCAGCAAAAATAGCAAGTTAACATTTTGTTCTTTCAGCATTTTACCCTCCCAGCATGCATCCAAACAATAGTCACAAATGAACCATAGTTAATACCGGAATATATTCACGATGTTAGAATCATAAATGGCACATAACATATGCACCATGGAAGTGCTAAGTGCACCCACCAAGTTAAACCTGTTAGTAAGTGGCAGAATATAAAGTGTTTCATAAACTGTGTGTACAACAGAGGTGCTACTGGTTAGTCACAAAGCTGCTCATGGACTGGAGAGTCAGTCTGTCCTGGAAGGGATTGCACTTCCCAAAAGAAGCAGGTTCATAGATGGTGCAGCTCTGATTTTCCAGCAAGCTCCGTTATTATTCCCCTCATTGTCTAAAATATGTTCTTCATTCTGGTCTTGGGCTTTTTCAGTGGCTGCTCCATGACTCTGGAACAGCCTCCAGACAGAAGACAGGGCGGCTCCAACTAGGATTGCCAAGTCAGAAACTGCAGCGGGGGATTCCCGGCTGGCATCTTGAGCGCGTACAAAGCGCGCACACGCCGCATCCACATCACCCGGAAGTGACGCGGGTATGCTGGGCACGCAGGGGGCGGGGCCAGTACCATCCGAGGGAAAACCATAGAGTTTTCCCTCGGATGACCGTGGCCCCGCCCCCCAGTGTGCCCGGCGTACCCGCGTCACTTCCGGGTGACGTGCACGTGGGGGTGGAGTTCCCCCTGGGGCCCGATCCGCTAGCGGCGGGGAACGGGCCTCTGGGGCGGGGGTTTCCCTGCCCCCCAGGGGGACTTGGCAAGCCTAGCTTCAACCCTCTTGGCTTTCTGGTGGGGCTACAAACCAGAGGTGTTCCAGAGGGCTTTCAAGGTTGCCTGAGTCTGGATAGAAGAGGAATACTCTGTTGGTTGGGGCATAAGTTGCTTTAGACATTAACGTGTTTTATGTTAGTTTTATTAAGTTGTTTATGTTGTTATTACCTGCCTAGGGTGCCTGGGAGAAAGGAGAATATTAAATTGACAGATTTCGTTAATCACTAAGGTAGAACTATGCACCATCCCTCTAATTGAGATTGAATGCCTTCCCAAAAGAAAAATGTTGTTAGCCCCTCCAGGGGGAGGAAGTTCTGTAATGGCATCATGTAGTGGTTAGAGTGTCAGACTAGGATCTGGGACTACCAAGTTTGAATCCCCTGCCCAGCTATGGAAGTCTGCTGGGTGACCTTGGGCCTGTTACAGTATCTTAGACTAATATACCCTCTCAAGGTTGTGAAGATTAAGTGGAGGAGGAGGGAACAATATTGAAAAGCTGCTTTCGGTCCCTGATCAGGGAGAGAAGTGGAATATAAATAAAAATAAGCATAATCCATGGACAGAGGCTGAAAAAGCCCTCCTGTGTGATGGACAAAAGCTAATATCATCTCTGTTGTAGCTGGTTCCCATATGACAGTTCCACTCATGAATCTTAATGCTCAGGAAATGCCCATGTGGGTAGAGGTGTTAGGGCTTTAATGGCTGTTACCAACATCTTGAACTGGGTCCAGAAACAAATCAGGAGACAATGTAGTTGGAATATAGCTACTGTGGTGAGTCCCACTACAAACCCTTGCAGACTTTTGAACCAAGTTTCTGAACCATTTTCAAGGGTGGCCCCATGTAAAATCTGAATGTTTTCAAAGTGTGTTTGACTGAGGTGAGGTCTGTTTACTTCATGAAATAAGCAAGTAATTGTTTGTTTAAGTAATTAGTGTTTTGTGGCAAAGATCTTAAATGCGGCGGGGGGGGGGGATATTTTAAAATGCACAAACCCGAAGCAAGTCTTATAAAACTTGCAAGGGACCAGATGTTCTATCATACAGGCTTAAATAAGAACAATTACATGGGGGTAGCAGTCTTAAAAATTTCTATCTTTGGATGCTATCTTCTACAGTCATGAGCAATTGTGTAATGTATCCAGTCCAGACCGCGTGGCCTGCTTGGGCTCCACGCGGTCAGGCACAAACATCGAGCTCCGCTCCAAGAGACAATGGACTATGCGGATCCTAGCCCGCTCCAATCAGGGGGCTAGGTTCCCAGCCGAGAGCCTATGGGACTCTTGGCCGCTGTAAATAACCTATTGGGAAGTGGGGGGGGTGTTTTGGGTCGCGGTTTCTTGGGGAATATAAGCCGGCCTGCGAGCCGGCCAAAGTCGTCTTGTTCCTGATCGAATAAAGTACGCTTTGCTGAAATCACTCTCCGTCTGCGTACTTTTCAAATTGATAGCTGAATTTCTCTAATGAGGCCCTTTCCAGATGGTGTTTTATTTCCAAGGCAATGTACAGATCTTTTCTGTTTGTTGCTAGGCTTCATAACCAGTTATTGCCATCCATTTTGGGGGAACCAGGGTTCCCTTATACTCAAAGCAGCTTTATTATTTTTCGGGGGGGTATTCCTTCATTGTGAGCATCAGAATTGAGATGCAACGTGCTGAGTGGATGCAGGTTGTGCTAGCAGTGGAAGTACCTATTTGCAGAGGCCCTTTGTGTGATTTTTATGAGTGACATGGGCCTTTCCTTCCCCGTACCTGTAACTTTTAAATTTCATTTTCCATTCAAGTTTGTCTTGTCTTTGATGGTTCCTGCTCTCTAGCACTTCCTTTCTAATATTGTAATTATGGTACTAATTGGTAGTGTGCCTGTGCAAATGAGAATAGAAGCAAGCACTAAAAACTCTGCAGGGCTAGCAACTTCTGCCTCAACCCTGATGGCTTCCAACAAATGTAGTGGCAAATAGTTGTCACACCAGGAACTTTAATAAGGTAAATAAACAGGTATATGTCATCTAAAAAGGGATAGAAAATAATTATTGGGTTCCAGGGGTGAGTATCTAGGTCATACATTCTTGTCAGTTAAGTAGTTAAGATTTCTCTGGTTCCAGGCCCTTCTTCCCAGAACTCCGCATCACAGTCAATAACAATCAAAGCCTTTAAAAGCCTCAGTCTGATTATAGGAGTTCTTTGCTGTGTCTTCTACAATCCCTATTAATGCCCTTCCAGCTCTCACAGACCTGTTCCTGGCTGCTGTTCTCTCTTAGATCTAGGGTTGCCAAGTCTCTTACCTGCAATAGCAAGGGGGACCCGGTCCAAGTCCGAGAGTTTTGCGTATGCGCTTTGCGCACGCGTGACGTAATTACGCTGGGCATGCCACAGGGCGACACTCTAGCAATCGCCCTAAAAACTCTGAGAAGAGGGGTGACAGCTCTCACAATCCTTTACTAAATCGCTATCCAGCTAGCTTTATTGTGGTCCTATACCATGAGGAAGCAAGCCACGTTTGTCCTAACTTAGTATAGTTAAGTCCAATAAATCTTGTGATTATGGTTGCAGTCCTACCTAGTAGAAAGCTAGAGCTGCTGAGCTGCTTAGGATCAGACTGTGACCGATTTCCCACAAGCAGCTGCACCACCCTCGCGCTTCCCTTTCCCCTGATTGCATTCGTCAATTTCTTTCTACTTGCTGTGTGGCCGCATTTTGACCTGCAGCATTTCCCGATTTCCCCCGCATCTTCACGGTCTTTGAGATTGTGAAGATGCGGGGGAAATCGGGGGATGCTGCAGGTCAAAACGCAGCTGCACAGCAAGTAGTGGGAAATTAACAAACACAATCAGGGTAAAGGGAAGAACCAGGGCGGTGCAGCTGCTTTAGGTCCATGTACTTCCAGGAGATAACTTATCAGTGAATTTGGTACTGAACCATTCAAGCTGACACATTCTAACTCGTAGGAAGTATGAAAGGATGTTGTAT